TCCCTCTCATCACTGATGTTTCTGCCTCTTTTCCCCTCTCCATTCCTCTCTGAAATCAATTTTTAAAAAATTAAATAAAAAAAAGACCCTCCCAGCACCATGGTTTTAACAGCCTCGCTTCGTAGCACTTTTTGGTGGATCCTCCAGGGATGTCTAAGAGAGTTCCACCCTAATTTAGAAGCAGACAACTCAGAGCTCTGTGATGTTGCAGGCTCCTCTGAAAAGAGACGAACGCAAGGAAGCCATTGTTGGGCGAGGCTGCCCACTGCGCCTGCCCGGGGCCTGACCACAGGACGCGAAGGCCTGCAGCTCTTGGGCTGTGACTCCGGCTAGAGACTGCGGGGGGCGGTCATGGGGCAGAGGGGGGAGAAACCACATTTGGGAGGCAGAGGTGGGGCTCAGAGGGTGGCTCTGACCAACCCCAGTGGCCCCACGTGCCACACACCGTCCACCAGCCTGAGAGAGGCAGATGGAGGGACAGAGGGTGATGGCACTGTCCTCACAGCCACCACCACTAGGCTTCCCGGGCATGCACACAGGCAGGCACAGGGCCCCGCGCAATGCTCTGCTGTCACCTGAAATGCTTCATCATTTAAATATATACATATATATATATATATATATATATATTTTAAATATATTTTATTGATTTTTTACAGAGAGGAAAGGAGAGAGATAGAGAGTTAGAAACATCGATGAGAGAGAAACATCGATCAGCTGCCTCCTGCACATCTCCTACTGGGGATATGCCCGCAACCCAGGTACATGCCCTTGACCGGAATCGAACCTGGGACCTTTCAGTCCGCAGGCCGACGCTCTATCCACTGAGCCAAACCGGTTTTGGCTGTACATATATATTTTATTGATTTTAGAGAGGAAGGGAGAGGGAGAGAGAGAAACATCAATGGTGAGAGAGAATCATGGATCGGCTGCCTCCTGCGCGCCCCACACTGGGGACGGAGCCCACAACCTGGGCCTGTGCCCTGACTGGGAATCGAACCCTGACCTCCTGGTTCACAGGTCGACGCTCAGCCACTGAGCTACACCGGCCCGGCTGCTTCATCATTTTTAACGCGGGCCTACACATTATGCGGCCTGTCCTGCCCATGTTACAAGTCGCCATGAACCCCGCGCGGTGTCTGTGCGGGCCCCGCCCTCCGGGGCAGACAGACCCAGGCGTGGCCTCTGCACTGCGCTCCCTTCTCCCCAGTCTCTGGTCTGGAGAACCTTCTCAGCTCACAGGGGGAGCAGTGGAGGCCCCGAGGCCCGGCCCCGCCCTCCTGGCCCCACCTGCCCTCCATCCCCATGTGACCTCGGCCGGCCCCTGGCTTCCCACACACTTGGCGCCGGACTCCAGGTTCCTGTCCCCAGACTCTCTCCCCTCTGACCGCCAGGTGCACCCATGACCTGCAGGGTCTGACCGACGCCCAGGGCCCTGCCCCTCCAGCTGAGTCTGCCCCGTCCGGCTCCCCAGTGCCAGCCCCGACCTCAGAGCTCTCCTCCTTGCCGCCTCTCCAGCAGCAGGTCCCACCGAATGCCCCCTGGGTCAGCAGCCCCCTCGCCCCGAATGCCACAACAGCCCCTCCCGGCCTGCCTTCCGGCCGGCCCTGCGCCCAGCAGCCAGGCGGGTCTTTTGAAAGTGAAATGAGCTCAAGTGTCTGTTCCGAAGCTGCGGGCTTCCGCCTCCCTGGGGCCTGCAGAGCCCCCAACCTGCTCCGAAGCCCCCCCCCCCCCCCCCGCCCTCCTGGGCTGCGGCCACGTGGACTTCCCGTGGGGCCCGTGCGTTTGCACCTGCCATCCCCTCTCCTGGCCATCCCCTCTCCTGGGGCTCTCTGTCAGCCACCCGCCTGGCCCCTGGCTCCGCCGCCTGCGCCGACGCCCCTCCTGCCCCGCCTGCCCGAATTCAGTTCCCACGCGCTGGGCCGGCCTCCTGTCTGGTGCGGGTGCCACAGGGTGGACGCGGCGTCGGTTCTGCTCCGCGTGTCCCTGGGCCTGGCACAGGGCCCGGCCCTCGGCAGGTGTGGTAAATATTAGCCGGAGGAACGACTGAATGAACAGCCGTGAGGGCGTCAGTCTCCTCCCAGGCCCGGCAGACAGGCTGTGAGTTAGTCCCTGAGTTCACGGGGCCAAATCTGAGCGGGGCGGAACCTGTGCTGGGGAAGTGGGGGGCCTGTGCAGGGACTTCGGCTGTTTATGGGTGAGGACAAGGTGGCTCAGAGGACAGGGATGGGCCAGGTCCTGCCCCAGGTCTGCGCCTCACCTGGAGCTCTGCCCTCCCTCGCCCCACCCTGCGGGGAGCTGGGCCCTCCCCCGCCTGCCCAGCGGCCCTGCCCCGTCTGCACAAGCTGTGTCAGGCCGCCCCTGAGGCTGCTGCCTGGGGCTGATACAGCGGCTGCCCAATGCCTGTTCATTTCCTTCACCCTCCTTCCTGCCCACCCTGTGCTCCAAGGACTGCCTCTGGGGCCTGGGCTCCCCCAGGTTTCCTTCCTGGGGCCGCGGGAGAGCAGTGGCTAATCTGTCTCCTTCAGAGTTCCTGCGCCCGCCTGGTCAGCTGCAGCGAGAATGCCCTTAGGGCGCCGGCTTTCAGAACTGCGGCTGGTGTGGGGCAGCAAGGGCTGCCTCGTCCTCACACCCAGGGGGTAAGGCCAGTGGCGCTGTCATCGCAGGTACCCACATCATAACCACGCCCAGGCCACACCCGAGCCTGGGCCCGCCTTCCCTGGGACTGGGCGCTCCCTCCCACCGGCCTCTCGGCAGGGACCCTGGGCCTTCTTCCCAAGCCCACCCTGCCCGGGTACCCGGAGTGCCCGGCATCGCCCTAGAAGCTCCCGAGAACCAGACCACGGCGATTTCCCTCCTGGGACCCCTGGAGACAGAAGCGCTGAGCAGCTGGGACAGAGGGAGAAATGCATTCCCTGTGTCCCAAATTTAGAGTCCCTGGCAGGCTCCGGAACGGAGAGGGCCACACGCACAGAGGGAAGCCCCCCAATGGGCAGGTGGGCTGTGTGTTCTCACCGCAGCCCCCTGGGCCTCACCCCAAAGCTGAAAGTGGGGGAGGTGTTTGGGGTGGGGCTGGGAGCCAGAGAGCACACAGGCAGGGGGCAGAGGTGACCTGGCCTTCTGGGGGTGTGGGGGGCATGACTTATTCACCCCCTGTCTCAGCAGACCAGGTCTGTGTGAGCGGAACGCAGGAGAGTATTAAACCAGCCGCCCCTGTCTCGTGGCGGAAGGCACACCACTCATCTGAGCACGGGCGGGCAAGCGTGGCCAGGCCCTCCCGCGCCACAGCCCCGGCTCAGAGACTCCCAGGCCTCCAGGCTACTGCTCCCTGATGTCCACGCCCCAGAGGGACAACAGCTCAACACCACCCTCCATCCTGGCTGGGAGGGGGGCCAGGTGGGTAGTTACCTGGTTCCCAGGCCTGGCCCAAGGGCCGAGGTGCCTGGAAAGGTAGCCCCAGGCTGCTAGGAGCTCCCCCAGGCCTTTCAAGCTCTGCCCGGGCCCGCGCCAGCTCCTGGAGTACACAGCTAGCCGCCCCCTTTGACAGATGGGGGGACCTCGGCTCCCACGGACAGAGCCACAGCGGACAAGCAATGGGGTGGCTCTCACCCCAGCTCCCTCGGCCCCTGCATGTCCCCCACCCACCTTTCCCGCCACACCTAGGGCTCCCCAAGCACTCCCTCTGCGCCCCTCAGACCCAACTGCCCCAGCTCCTGTGCCCTGGTCCGCGTTCCCCCCTCTGCCTGCAATGCCCACCCCAACTGTGCCAGTGCCCTTCAAGCTCCAGTTCAAATGCCACTTTGCCCACAGGCCTGTCTGACCCCCGCCTGGGTCACCTCTTGGAGGTCCCCTCCTGAGACCCCCCAAACCCACACTCAGGGTTGGGGTTATCTGAGCAAAGACACTGCTCCCCTGTGGGGTGGTGAGTCAGTCCCTGGAGGGCAGGCCCTTCCACTCGCACCCCAGCGCCAGGCCCTGGGGGAGGCAAACGCTCAGTAAATATTTGCTTAATCGAATTTGGCCACGGAGCCACCTCCAGACAGAGCCAGGGCAGCGGGACTCGGTCCCCAGGGCAGGGCAATCACTTGGGCAGAAAAAAAAGCCGGCCAGGGGCTGGGCTGTCTCCTGAAGCCCGGCCAACTTCCCTGCCAGGCACCAGGCGGGTCCCTGCATCCTCGGACGCGGCCGCCTTTCCATCCCGGTCACCGAGAGCCCCGGTTCCAGGCCCAGGCGGGCTGCTGCCGTCACCCAGGGGCGCAGCGCCGCCCTGAAGGCAGAGCCCCCTCGGATCTCCCGATCTCCCGCAGGATCGCGAGCCCCAGCCCCGAGGCGCTCGCACCCCTCCCCCGAAACACCCCCACCGCCTTTTAAGGGAAAAAAAATATTGAGCCAGGAACGTAGCAAAAATCGCAGCGGGTCCATACTCATCTTGCTCGTTTGAACGCCTCGGAGCAACCTGCTCGCTGCAAGAGCGATCACCGAGCCGAGAGCCATCCGCGCTCGGGCCCAGGCCTCCGGGGCCCTCTCCTCCGTCTGCGCCGAGGCCCCGCGTTGGCGCACCCGCCGCCCCGGTCGCCGCCTCCCCGCTCCCCCGAACGGGAGACCCAGCCTCAGCGCCGCGCCCGCAGGTCGCCGGGCCCCTGCTCCGCACCAGCGGCTGCTGGCGGGGGGTGGGCGGCGCGGCACCCCAGCGGCCGCTGTCCACCATCCCGGCCCGCAGCCGCCCCCTCCCGTCGGCTCCCCGGCCCGGGGGTACCCCGTCCCCAGCACCTGCTGGGCCCGCGGCCACCCCCTGGCCACCGCCCTGGCATCCCCGCCCTCGTCGCCCCCCACCCCAGCCGGGCATCCCAGGCGCCGTATCGGGCACCCCCAACCTCGGGCGGATCCCCGGCACAAAGGCCCGGGCGGGGCCCCGGGTGGGGGTGGGGTGGATGCCCCGGCCGCGCCCCCGGCCCCCCGAGGCTGCGCCGCACTCCCGGGCCACGGGTCCACTCACTCACCTCTGGGCCGCAGCACCGAGCATCCGCCGAGCTGCTGCGGGCGGCGCGGGCGGGCGGGGTAGTGAGCGCGGGCCGTGGCGCCCTCGATCCGCACGACGCGGGTGGCAGCGCCCGTGCGGGGACGTGATCGGACCGCGGGCGGCGCACACACTCCAGCCGCCCTGGCTCCCTCCGCCCGCCCGCTCTCCCGCGCCGCCCGCCGCCCGCGGGTCCGCCCGCCCCGCGCTGCCGCCGCCGCCGGCAGGGGGCGGAGCCGCGAGCGCAGCGCGTTGCCAGGCAACCGCGGGCGGGGGTGCCGCGCGCCCGCCGCTGACAACGCGCCGGGCGCCGCCGCCCCGCCAGCAGCGTTGGGTCGCTGCTCATTGGGTACGAGCGGCTGATGGACGCCTCCGCGGCCCAATGGCGGCCGGAAGGGGCGGGGCCGAAGCTGGGCGCGCGCCGCCACCCCGTCCACGCTGCGGGCGCCGGCATCCCTGGGACCCGGCTGCCCCGAGGCGCCCACCCAGTGGCCCTGCCTCTAGCGGATCGGGAGACCGAGCCTGGGAGCGGCCGATGGCCCCTGCCCCGCGCCGGCCCCGGTCCACACCCAGCTTGGCCTTTGCTGAGCTCCGCGACCTTGGGCAACCGACTGACCTATCAGGGCCCGTTTTACAAGTGGAGCTGGTGGCGCCCGCTTCCCTGACTTGTCGCGACAACCCGCTAGAATGTGTGGACGGTGCGTGCACATCCTGAAGGTTTGCGCCCGCGAGGCTTGTGCAGCGATGGGCTCAGTCGTCTTTGCTCGCCCACCCAGCTCTTCAGGGCCCCTGCAGTCCTGACCACGGAAGATGGATTGCCTCGGAAGGGGGGGGGGGAGAAGGGCCCAGGAGTGTCCCCCCCCCCCCCCCCACCAGAGCGGTGGGAGGGAGCCAGCCCAGTGAGGGCCGGGGTCCCCGTGTAGAAGGCACGGGATGCTGCTCAGCAAAATGCCCCCGAGGGCAGCCTGCCCAGTTCTGTGTTCAGTGTCCGAGAGCCCGTCTGTGGGCCTCAGCGCCAGGAGCGCCCCGCCCCCCACTCCTGTGCTTAAATGCTGTCTTCTCCATCATCCTAACGCTGAGCTTTGTCCCTCCTAGAGCATCGCTTGGTGAAGTGCAGGCGCTGCCAGCCAACTCTGACCTTGTCGCTTTACGTGTACACCGTCATGGTCATATTACAAGGAGCACCCACTCGTGGGCATGGGAGCACTGGCGCTGACCGCTGGCAGAGGTAGAGGGGGTGTTGGCCCCAGCCCAGGTCTGTGGCCGGGAGACAGAGGCGGGGATCTGGCTCTGCCCGCTGGACACCGACCGTGGCATCAGCATCATCCCGTGACCTGTCTGGTGTGATTCCTCTGCGGTGGAATTCCTTCACACAGCAGCCCTTATCGATGGCCTCCTGTGCACCAGGCACAGGTCTAGGGTTTTGACAGACCCAGCCTGTCAAAAGGGACAGGGGTCGAAAGGGACCCCGTGTCTGCGGGGCAGAGGCGGGCAGCACGACATAATCCACCATGACAGTTGTTCGGGGCTTGATAGCGAAGACCCACCAGGGGCCTGGGGCCTGTGGCCGGGGAAGCACCGGGCAGTGGGACAGCAGGAGGGGCGGTGCCCATGACTGGGGGCAGGAGAGAAGCATGGAGGGGCGTGAAGCCTGGCGGACTCCAGAGAGGACCAGTGAGCGTGTGAGGATGTGCTAACACTAGGCTGCGGCGGGGCTGGGCACAGTCATGCCAGGCGGGTGGCGCGTGTGTAGAATTGGGGACATTGGCCTGAGACCCACTGGAGAGTTTTAAGGTTAGTTTTAAAAAATATATGTATATATGTATATATGTATATATATGTATGTGTATATATCTCTATCTATCTATCTATCTATCTATCTATCTATTGATTTCAGAGAGGAATGGAGAGGGAGAGAGAGATGCATCAATGAGGAGAGAGAACCGTTGATCGGCTGCCTCCTGCACACCCCACACTGGGGATCGAGCCCGCAACCCGGGCCTGTGCCCTGACCTCCTGGTTCACGGATCGATGCTCAACCACTGAGCCATGCCAGCCGGGCTCTGGTTAGTTTTTTTAAACTTGAGGGGGAGGAAGACAGCGTTTTGTTTTACATTTACAGTAGGCATGCTCCCACCGTATGAGTTGTCCTAACATGCAGAATCAGATGACAAAGATGACAAGGAGTCAGTCCCGAGAAAATAAAGCAGAGACGTCAGGGGGCCGGAGGAGGTGCCGGAGAAAGGGGTGGCGCTGGCTACGCGGTTGGAGGAGCAGCTGGAGAGGAGGCCAGGAAACAGGGCGTGAAGGGCCCAGAGCCCTGGGCAGGGCGTGTCTCGAGAAGGAAGACATGGTGAGCCATGTGTCGTGCGTTGGGAGCGAGGCTGAGTAAGCCGAGGACGGAGAAGGGACCCCAGGAGCCACGGCAGGCACAGGGGTGGGGGTCGGTGTGCCAGGAGTTCGGGGCAGGGGGGCCATACAAGGCGAAAGCTGGACGGGAGAGTCACTGTGAGTCGAGGTGGGCCCAGGGTGTCTGGCACAGATGTGCGGTCCCCAGGCAGGGCCAGAGCTCCGTCGTGAGTCCTTACTGGCCAGGACAACAGGACCAAAGACAACAGCCCGGGGGTCTGTGGTGGGAAGAGGGGTAGGGCCCTGGTGGCGAACCCCCCTGGCTGCATCTCGCCAACCCAGCAGGGGCAGCAGGCTGAGGAGAGCCCGCGGGGGCAGCGGGAACCCCTCCCCCAGGAAATGCCCAAACCACAACCGAAGTGGGGGTCCACCTGTGGACGTGGTGACCCTCAATCCCGGCGGAGCTTTCTGGCTCACCAGCCGCTGAACGCACCCAGCCAGGCTGAACCAGGGTCTCCCCAAACACTGGTGGCTCGTGCCTTCACCCTTCCGCCCCCCCAAGGCCCAGCTCCCCGAGCCTCCCTCCCTGCACAACCAGGCCCCCGGGACCCTGGAATTCCTCACCTACACACGTGGCAACCTGTGCTGTAAGGACAGGTCCTCGTGGACACTCCCCCTAGTCTGCCCACTCCCCCAGGGGCGGGTGGTGGTGGCTTGCGGCCTCCGGCGATGGTCCCCTGCTGGCGGACGTGGCTGTGTGCCCCACCTGTCCTGTCCCCCCACCCCCTGCCGGCCCATTCTCAGGCAGTGGGGGCCAGCTGGGCCCCTCCAGTTTGTTTCCCCGGGGTCTCTGCACCCCCCGCACACACACTTGAACACGCCGTTGCGGAATTGGGTTAGTTATAAATAGCCAGGCCCCGACTCTCCTTTTAGCTGAGAAGCAGCTAAGTGAACGAGTAGCGAGGCACACCCAGCACGCGTTTTATTTTTAATTTTCTCCCTCCGTCTCAAAACGAACCGGCCCCCATGCTCAGCATTCTGCAGGCGGAGGCCCAAGACAAACGCCGGAGGAAGGAGGCCCGGGGAGCGGCCGCTGTGTGGCCTTGGGCACGTGAGTTGCCTCTCTGGGCCTCGGTTTCCTCATCCAGGCGGGGAGCATGGGTGGTGACGACCTCCAGTCCCACAACTGTATTTATTTTAATCCTCACTCGAGGATAAGTTTCCATTGATTTTTTAAGAGTGGAAGAGAGAGGGAAAGACAGAGAGAAATATCAATGTGGGAGAAACGTCAATGGGTTGCCTCCTGCATGTGCCCGGAACCAAGGCCCCGGGCTGGGGAGGAGCCTGCAACCCAGGTACATGCCCTTGACTGGAATCGAACCCGGGACCCTCTGTTTGCAGGCCGACGCTCTATCCACTGAGCCAAATAGGCTAGGGCCAATATCGTGACTTTCTGACTTCGACCGCCTCCCCGCAAGCACCCCCCCACCCCCGCCATGGCTCCGGCAGCCGCTGTCCCTGGGTTTCCCTAGAAAGCCAGACCCTATAGCATGGGAAGCCACAGTCAAGCCCTGACCGGATGATGATGATGATGCACAAATCCCCCCTGCCCCCTCAGCCTCGCTCAGGTGCCAGCCAGGACGCTCTCCCTCAGCAGCCAGCAGAGTCCTTCTTGGAAGGTGGACTTGGTGCCCCTCCACTGTGAGCTGGGCTGAGAGCCTGTGGGCAGGGCCTGCAGGGGAAGCGCAGCAGGAGCAGGCGGCCTCGGGGTGCTTTGGGCAGGGGTCTGTCCAAAGAGGTGGCTTGGGGGCAGGGACTGTACAGCTTCTGCCTGTGTATCCCTACCCCCCGCCCCCCCGCACACACACACCCCGCAGGCTCATGCTTGCGGCAGGGACTCTGAGTTGGTGGAATTCGGGGGACTCTTGCTGTGCTGGGCCAGCTGTCCTGGGCCTACGGCGACCGTCCTTGCACAGAGCCCGTTCCCACCTGCTACCCGTTGGCATCGCACCCCCACCACCACCAGGTAGGCATGAGGAAGCCAGGCTCAGAGAGGCTCAGCGCCTTGTTCAGGGTCACACAGCTGGACACAGTGAGGATCCAACGTAAGCATTTTTTGGAATCCGTGTTTAGTAAATCGTAAAAAGCCCTGGACTCGAGCAATCAGGAAGCTGCTCTTCCTGGCGTCGTGACCCGCGAGCTAATGGCTGCTCCCCACCCCAGCGAGAAGTAGCCGGGGCCCGGGCGCTGCTGTCTCTGCCGCCCGCTGACTGCCTGTCGCCCCTCTCACCGCATCCCTCACCCCGGGCTGCCATTTGATGTCCTTTGAGGAAAGGACGGGGGATGCCTTCAAAGAGGAAACGCTGGTGCTAATTGGCACTGGAGACCTTTAGGCTAATGAACCTGTTTACTGGTCTCTGGAGTAAATTAGAAGGTTTAGCTGGGGAGGCGGCAGAGAGGTGCTTGCCCGCCGGCGGCCTCTGCGGGGCCGCGGTGGGAGCTGATGGGGGGCAGGTCATGGTGGGCTGTGGGCGGCAGTGACGGCCGCCCTTGCGCCCTGGGGAAGGGCTGTGCCCCCTGGTGGCGTCCTGCTCACTGCCCCCTGAGTGCTGCTCTGGGCACGTGGGAGCGGGGCCCCTGGGGGTGCCACCGAGCAGGTTCTGGGTCCTCCGGCAGCCTCTGCAGACAGTCCCCGGGAGGGACTCGGGCTGGAAGGAGCCAGGCTGAGCCCCTCTTAGGCAGGCCCACTGTCTCGGGCTTCTCCCGGCGCCGGTGCCGCAGCCACGCCACGTGGAGCCCCTCCTGGGGACACTCCAAGACCCTTGGCACGCCCGGCCGGCGGGGCTCAGTGGCTGAACTTC